GCAGCGCCGACGAGACGCGCGAGGCTACCTCTACGCGCTGCTCAAGTGGTCCATGCTCTTCTTCGTCCGGCGCCTGGCTCCGTCGGCCTCGCGCCTGACCTAACCTCTACACGCGCCTCTACATCTGGGTCTACGAGCACTTTTGTCACCTGGCGCGGCCGCCGTCAGCAGATGCGGCCGCAGCCTGCGCGCCACGCGAAACTACCGCGACTGGGTCGCCGCCGCGCGCGAGCTCGACGCCTACCTCGGCCGCCAGACGTGGAAGGAGGAGAACGACTTTGCCTACTACGACTCCAAGACGGTCAAGAGGGTGTGGGAGCAGATGCGCAAGTGTCGCCACCGGGCCGAGGCCGTTGAGCGGGGCGACTCGGACGACTCCGACGACGACAACAACGAGAATGCCGACAGGCAGAAGGGCGAGAAGAGGAAGAAGGGCGGCGCTGTCGACGAGCTGAGGGGCCTGCTCGAGGCGTGTGTCAAGAATAATTTTGTGGGCGTCGAGAACCCGCGCTTGTACAGCCAGACGTACTACGGGACGAAGAACCTGGTGCAGAACTTTACGGATGAAGGTCAGCTGTCCCTGGCGGTGTCGCGTCGTGACTTCCCTTGTGTGTAAGCGACCATGCTGACTGGAGTGCAGTCGAGAGGAGTATCAAGTTCTGCTCAACAGCAAGCAGCTGACCCAGGAAGAGAAGCGTGTCCTGTTCAAGGGCATGCACGCCAATTACGGCCGAACGGCGCTCTGCCTGTCTGGCGGCGCCGGCTTTCCTACTATCACCTGGGCGTTGTCAAATCCCTGCTCGACGCCAATCTGCTGCCGGACGTCATCACGGGGACCCAGCGGCGGCGCTCTCGTCGCGGCTCTTGTCGCCACACGAACGAATGATGAACTGAAGACGCTGCTGGTGCCGGCCCTCGCAGGCAAAATCACAGCATGCCGGGAGTCTTTCGTCACGTGGTTCCCCCGGTGGTGGAAGACGGGCGCTCGGTTTGACTCCGTCGACTGGGCGCGACAGTGCAGTTGGTGGACGCGGGGGTCCATGACGTTTCGCGAAGCCTACGAACGCACCGGTCGCATCCTCAACGTCTCGTGCGTTCCCGCCGACCCGCACTCGCCAACGATCCTCTGCAACTATCTCACGAGCCCCGACTGCGTCATTTGGTCTGCGGTTCTGGCTTCGGCCGCCGTTCCCGGTATTCTCAACCCTGTTGTACTGTTGATGAAGCAGCGCGACGGCACGCTGGCGCCATACTCGTTCGGCCACAAGTGGAAGGATGGCAGTCTGCGCACCGATATCCCCATCAAGGCGCTGAACCTCCATTTCAACGTCAATTTCACCGTCGTTTCGCAGGTCAACCCGCACATCAATCTCTTCTTCTTCTCCTCGCGCGGCTCCGTGGGCCACCCTGTCACGCACCGCAAGGGCAAGGGCTGGCGTGGCGGGTACGTCATGTCGGCCGTCGAGCACTACCTCAAGCTTGACATGACCAAGTGGCTCAAGTTCATCCGCCACGCCGAGCTGTTGCCCCGACCGCTGGGACAGGACTGGTCGCAGCTGTTTCTGCAGCAGTTTAGTGGCACGATCACTATCTGGCCCAAGTCGGTGCCTAGCGATTTCTATCACATCCTGTCGGACCCGGATCCACCGCGGCTTGCAAGGATGCTGCACGAGGGGCAGCAGCGCGGGTTCCCGATTCTGAAGTTCATGGGCAACAGGCTCAAGGTTGAGCGGATGATCGAGCAGGGGCGAAAAGAGACGAGACCGTGGGCTCGCCGCGGCAGCATCGAGACTATTATCAGCGAGGACGACATGCGAAGTTTGATGGTGACGGGGAACACAGATATTGAAGACGAGTCGACGGATGACGAGGGCAAGCTGACGACCTCGTTGGATAACGAGAACGCCATTATCGATGGTGATGAGGAAGGAGACGATTTCGAGAAGCGGGATTGAACGGGAGAGGTGGTGTTGAGGCGTAGACTTGTGTGCATACTTATTACAGCTGGGCGTTCTTGGGTATTGAGGTTGAACAATAGGAAGGCAGGGTGGTCGCCTCAATGGGCAGAACTGCATCTTGAATCACAGACTACCTGCCTTGAATCGTATGCTCAATACTATGCCGGTCAGTCAGGTCAGCTCACTTTTTGAGCGTTCCGTCCACCTCTCCATGTGCACTGAGGAATTTGGCTCTATCTGACGATCCACACGACCATTGCCTTGACTTGCAACCTTGGAGCGAAGGCAGATCAGACTACGTATCAGTCAACAGGCGATACTCCCATCACGCGACCAGTTGCTTGCTGCGTGAGTCAGCCTCCAAGATGACAGGAAGCCAGGACTGACTGACCGCCAGAGGGTATAGCAAGAAGATGTCTCCTCACCGAGGCCGACGATCGCGCCCGTCGCATCACGACGGCAGGTTCTCGCCGGTTAGGCATGACCCGCAAGACGACAAGGAAAATGTGGCGCCACCGGTCAACCAGGCACGCACCGGAAAGGCAAGCATGCGAACAAGTACGTTGCTCTTTCTCTGCGCATCGAAGAGTGCGGTCGATGTGTCGTGGTCACTCACCCACTGATACGTGGCTAGGCACTCGAACGGTTTCGGGCCCGCACAAGCCGCACCGTCGTCCTCTCAAGCAGCAGTATCGCAATCCGGGCTCCGGTCACGAATTCTGCAAAGCCGGTGCGCAAGACGTGGTTTGCCAGGCCCAAGACACGAATCACTCGCACCCAATCTCGTACATGGAAAGCACAACACGAGACAGCGACATCGGCTTGGATGCGGAGTTTGTCATCTACGACGACAACGACCAGGCAGCACTGGCGCCTGCGTTCCAGAAATTATCGCTCGATGAACCCTGTGGGGTTTTCAGAGATGACACTGCGATGCATCGGGGGGTTGATGAAAGTACGAGCGAGGCCAAGATCCAGGTGTTTTCCGACAGCGACATCAAGGCCCCGCTGAAGGCACTCTCGTACGCCGAGGCCTTTGCGATGCGGCCTCGCGTTCGAAAGGCAGATGCTGAGGCCAGAGGGACGGGGAGCCCGCTGCGGATGGAGGTCTCCCTTGAGTAAGGAGATGGCGTTCTGGAGCGGACAGATTTGGCTGGGACAGGCATGCTTTTTACTTGGGTTTTTGGGCATGGGCGGATACCCTTGGGGGTCGGCGTTGCTTCGTAGTGCGTTTCCGGAGTTGCATGGTTCAGCTGCAGAGTTAGGGAGAAGATGTTTGACCGGTCGAATGGACAATATCAAACTGCACTACCCAGATCCCAGATCTGCATCGCAGAAGAAGTCAGGAGAAGCTCGGTGAAGGCGGCAGCGAGAGGCGACCCACAACTACCTACCTTACTGGGAGTGGATCTCTAAAGGTGGCCCGAGCTCTGACCCCTGCGGGAAGGACAGATAATCCAGTTGCCGGCGGGCGACCTTCCGTCACACTTCGCAGTGGAACGACCCCTGCCTGTGGCCCAAGCTAATATTTCGAGGCCACGATTGTCATATGTCGAACCCTCTACGAAGGCCTCCATACTCCAGACTGTAGACCTGGACCACAACCTCTCCATTCTACTTGCGACTGCTTCGCAACCAACGCTCACTTTCCCACAACCGGCAAGATGAGTTCCGATTACTCATACGATGAGCAGGTGCGTTCCCTTGCCGTACAGCCTTTCATCCCTCTGGCCGGCAAACTGAGGAAGCCCTCGTGCTTCTTCTCGAGGATGGATCTTGTGAGCGCATCGAGCACCAGCTAACCTACTGTAGGGGCAATTCTTCCCCGTCTTCATCCTCACCCTGACGGGCCTCGTCACGCTCCCTCTCACCTACACTCTCCTTTTCCCCGCCAAAGACATCGAGGCCAAGGCGCCACGCATTCAATCCGACTTCAAGCCCGAGCATGAGGACCTCATACAAGCGCGTCGCGATGCGCAAAAGCGAAAGCAGCGTAGGGTCAAGCGCGCCCTGTTCGTCATCGTCGGCTGGCCCTCATGGCCGCCATGGTCTACCTGATCTTGCACACACAGAGGACAGTCCTCAAGTTGTGGAACCCTTACGACATTCTCGGTCTCCAGACGTATGCTTATCCCCCCCCCCCCTTCTGGCCGCCCGTCCGGCGGGTTTCGATGGAGCCCCATTTGGCTGACACGTCTCTCCCCCCCCCTTCTTCAGTCTGCTACCGAGAAGATGATCAAGTCCAAATACCGAAAGTTGTCCCGAACACTGCACCCTGACAAGGTCAAGCCCAACGCTGCAAAGAATGAGACGATTGAGTCTCTCAACGATGCCTATGTCGAGATCTCCAAGGCCTACCAGGCCCTCACTGATGAAGAGGTCCGCAACAACTACATCCAGTATGGCCACCCCGACGGCAAGCAGAGCTTCAGCATCGGCATCGCCTTGCCCCCTTGGATCATCTCCGACGGCAACGGCAAGTACGTCGTCGTCCTCTACACCCTTCTCCTCGGTGTTCTCCTCCCTTACCTGGTCGGATCGTGGTGGTACGGAACCCAGAGGATGTCCAAGGAGGGTGTCCTCATGGAGTCGGCCAACGACCTCTTCCGTGCCTACGAGGACAACATCGACACCGGCGGCGTCATCACCGCCCTGAGTGCCGGCAAGGAGTACGACGAAACATTCAAGGGCGACAAGGCCGACTCTGGCCTCGCTTCCATCGAATCCAGGATCGCAACCGGCGCCGGACTGACGACCAAGGACAAGCACGCCCTCGAGGACCTCGACAATGGCGTGCGCCGAAGGCTGGCCTCTGCTCTGCTGGGGGCCTACCTGGGTCGCGTAGAGCTCAACGACCAGACCCTCAACAGCCCCAAAGTGCGATGTCGCCCCCCCCGGGGACGCCCTCAACCGTTCCTTCTCCGTCATAGCCCAGGCCTTTTGTTCACACAGCCCCTATAATCGTTTCATTCTCTACTAACCAGCATCTCATCCAGGCCATGCCCCCCAAGTCGTCGCCTCTTCTCCAGCTCCCCCACTTCACTTCCGAAATCGCCCAGGCCGTTGATGGTGACGCCAAGACCCACGTCAACGTCCAGCAGTTTATGGAACTCCCCGACGCCCAGAGGCGGAGCCTTACTGTCGGCAGCAGTCTCCTGACCGACGCGCAGTACAAGACGGCTGTCGGTGTGGCCAAGCAGCTGCCCCACCTCCAGGTCAACAAAGCCTTCTTCAAGGTCACTGGCGAGAAGTTCATCATTCCTTCCTCACTCGTTACTCTCGTCGTCAAGGGCCGCATCATCCCCCCGGGCAGCGAGAACGTCCCAGAGGTCAACGAGCTCGACCTCGAGGACGTTGATCCCGCCGAAGACGATCTGGAGGCCTACCTGGGCCGCGCCAAGGCTGTCGTCAAGGGTCCCGAAGGCAAGCCCGTCGCCGTCGACAAGAAGCCTGTTCTGCCCCCTCTCGCCCACGCTCCCTACTTCGCCCGCGATCACGCCCCCAAGTGGTCCGTCTTCCTGTCCGACTCCAAGCAGGGCAAGATGGCCGTCCCTCCCTTCCACTTCACCCAGTTCGATCAGCCCATCTTCGACAGCGACGGCAAGCCCACGTTCAACATGCAGACCCTCAAGGCCCAGTTCGCCGCGCCGCCACAGGCTGGCCACTACACTTTCGTCATGCACCTCGTGTGCGACAGCTACGTCGGTTTTGACACCCAGATGGAGGTGACGCTGGTTGTGGAGGAGGCGAGCAAGGCTGCCGCCATGGCGGCCGAGGACGAGATTAGCGAGCCTGATGAGGGTACGTTGTCTCCGCATGCATCTGAACCGAACGCAACTAACAGTACATCAGATTCGCTGGCTGGACAGATGAACGCTCTCAAGGGGGGCGCACCGCCCGCCGCCAAGCCGAGGAGGAAGCAGGTCGTCGAGGAGTCGGACGATGAGAGCGGCACAGACGACGACCAGGACGACGACGACACGAGCGCGACCAACACGGACACGGAGGACGAGTCGTAGATGGGGTGTCTGTCGGTTCGGCGTGGACCGAGCTTGGTCGGTTGAGTCTCATTGTTCTTGTCTCTAGTGGTTTGTATGACCTTGCCAGCTTATTTCGGGTTGGGTGGCGAAGGGGTGTCTTGGGATTGCATCGTTGTTTATCATCATAGTGGCCAGGGGTGGCCGCTCCTGAGTGGAGAAAAAGGCATCTCAGGACTGAATATACCCAGAGTTTCAGTATGGACGCACTCCGATACCATGCATTTCTATGTTGGTTGCGCAAGACGAAGAGATTGAGTTGGTCCTGTGGGTGCTGCGCCTCAAGGCGGTCCATCCTTTGTTTAGCAGCGTCGCTAGATGGTTCCTTGCAACTCAATGGACGGAGAGCATATATGATATTGTTTTGGTTCACGCAGCAGACGTAGGCTGAAATTCATGTCTGGGCTCTATCTTGTGAAAGGTCACAAGCGATGACCTCGGACACTGGAAGCCAAAGGTGCCCCGAGTGTTCACTGATCATGAATGGCACCCCTGACAATCTTCGACATTGTCCCCATGCTCGTACACGAGAACTGCTCGTCACCATTCGAGATGTACTGTATGAGAGCCAAGCTGAACCTGCTCACAAATACATTCTTCATTTCACTAGACCAGTCCCTAACCACGTCGTCCCGTCTTCGGGCAGATCTTCCACGGCTTGTCAATCCACTTCCTGACCCAGTACCCTTCTCCCGATCGCTGGCCGTCGTCCCAACTGTTGAAGAACGGATACCACATCTGATCAGCACGAATCAGGTACTCAACCAGGCCCGGCTCCGCCTCGTCACGCGGCCTCGAGAACCCCGTCAGGGCCAGCTGATACATCGGCGCGGTCACCCACAAGGTCATTTCGACTCCCGCCAGCCGCGTGCTCATCGCGAGCAGCGGAAGAAAGAGGTGGAAGTCCAGATTGCCAATCTCCTTGGCGGGGTCGAACCTTGTCAGACTGGCCTGGTTGTCGAAAAAGAGGCCGAGTCGCTTGAGGCTGGGAAACCGGGGGCCAAGACCGTCCAGGATGTTGACGAACCTCCTGCGGTGATGCTCGGCGGACGAGAAGCACTTCTTGTCGAACAGGACCAGCTCGATGGTGATGCGGAGCGAAGTGACGAGCCCAATGCCGGGTCCGAGTAACTGGGCGCGGGCGGGTGTCGGAGCGCACAACGATTCGATCAAAGGCATGCTCTCCAGCAGGATGACGCTTGTGCCGTAGAGTATCCCTAGCAGCTCGTCGTGACTGCGGAGTGGTCAGCTTCTGGGTCGTCGGGCGGGCAGGTTGATCCCGTCTGACCTTTGCTTGCTGGAGAGCAGGAAGCTCATGACGCCCTGGAACCTACCATTGTCCGACCCGTGTGGACGCCCGGAGCAGTTTGCCTGGCCGTCGAGGCATGCTTCCCAATTTCGTTCCGAGGCATCGTACGTGGCCTCGTATTTCGCGTCACGGTGGCAGAAGCCGTTGGTCCATCTCCATATGACTCTGCGGCGTATGCGATACCGGGAGTCGGCAACGGAATCTTTCAATCGGATGACAGGCCAGGGGGGGCCGGGGCGCATGTCAATGTGAAAGACGCAATCTCCAAAGGCCAAACGCAGGATCGCGTAGCGGATCTCGTACGGTAGGCTGAAGAAGCCGCGCAGTTGTTGAACAGGCCTCCAGGAGTCCGCTTCGTGGATTGCCGTGGGCGGCAGCCAGGGGAGGGCCGGCTTGGTTCTCGGTGGCTTACTGCTGGACCGCCTTTTGAAGCAGTTGAAAACACAGCAGCACATAGTGCAGATGTGAGAGCGGCTCAAAGAAATCAGGATGGTGTCAGGTCAAGGCTCGAGAGCGCAGTTTGACAACTCAGACTAGGTGCTGACGCTGAGGAGATTGATACCCGTCCAAGACTATCAAGGCCCGCGAAGTAACTTATTTTTTGGACACAGGCGGCCTGGGAAACGATGACACTGAAAATAGAAAAACGATGAAGTAAAAGGGGTAGAGGAACTGGGTGCGTGTAGGCTCGAAGCGTTGGACCTTCACCTTTCTATAGTCTCTCTCCAACGTTTGGACAAATAGTCGTTGGAAAAGCTGCTTCGCACGATGCCACAGCGCAGCCACGCAAGTTATTGTCGCCTGGCAGATTCCTGGAACATCATGGCGTCCTGGTCGGCTGACTGTTGGCTTAGCACCAGAACATGCTCTGAAGATTCACTTCGGGCCCTGTACTATACTTTTCAATGTGGCCTGCATACTCGTTTATGGAACCTTCGCTGGCCAGCCTATTGTGTCCACTACTTAGCTGCCCATGATACTTTCAGAATTCGCCGCTCTACAAGACGCGATTTCAGTCACTTATTCATAGCCTGTCTGTCCCTTATGGTACATATACAACTGCGCACCCCACATGGGACCAGAGTGTCTTGACAAGTACAGGTCATAGCTCTAGCCACTCGTAAGCCTCTATTCAATACCGTTCGAGCAAACCTCCTTCCCAAATTCCCGGGTCACTGCCAGTTGGGTGCTCGTGTTCGCAGGACTGATGCTGCCAGATGTGTAGGTCCATCCACTCGCTATTGTGTGGGCCGCGTTTCGTGCCATAAGCACCTTGAATTCGGCCAACCTCCTCAAAGCGGAAGGCGTTGAGCCACTTGCGAATAAAGGTGAGTTCCGGATCTTTCTCGTCACGGAAGATCCCCTCAATGATGATACCTGGCCAAATTGAGTCAACATGCATTGCTGATTGATACCTTGAGGGACGACACTCACGCTGGGGGACCATTCGGCTACGACTGGTGGGATCGTCGTACGGCATCATTCCGGAAGCATTGTCCTAGTCGTGCTTCGTAGTGTCCGGAATGTGCGAGCGTGACATATGGGTAAGGATTCGGTCCAACAGGGCACTTCCCACATTTTTACGCCGGTAGTCGTGGTGGGTGTACACATGAAGCCTTGCGCTCTGTTGACCAACATGGCCGCCCTTGCCGAACCCAACCTTGAGGGTCTCGCAGAAGGCAAACCCGATCACGAGCGGTGGCTGTGGAACAGGCTTTCGAGGCATTTGCATGAAGCTTTCCCAGGCAGCTTTGCTGGGCCAGATGGATGGGTCAGTCAGGTCAGGCGACTGGCGGATGGCAACAATGAAAGGAAGACACTGTGTGCGGCAGCTGTTACCGATGGCGTTCAGGTCATTCTCCGACACTAAGTCGCTGTCAAGGGCACGGTGGCCTTTCTTGATCTCCCTGTTGTAAATATCGATGATCCCAGGAACATCGTTCGGTTTGGCTGGTCGAAGTACGCAATCGATCGCAACCTCACGTTGCGAAATTGGCTGAATTTTAGACTCGCAGCCATTGATAGAGACAGGTGTAGCCTGTCTTTGCTGCACAAGAGCTGCGTCTCTCTCGCGCATCATGATCCTGCTCTTGATATGGTAGTTGCTTGTCCAACGATCCGCATGCTTCTTGTGGTCAGGCCTGAGGGTTTCGGGGTTGCGAGTCGACTCGGGCTGCTCCACACGGGCCATCAGAGTTCCTGTATCGGTGTTGATGGGGTGTTCAGAGTGCTCTTCAATGTCGCTGTCACCCAGAAAGTCTGCTCTGATGTCCTCTGGAACTTGCAAAAGCCAGGCGTTGATGAAGCGCGAGTTGTAGCTTTGGCACATGAAATGCGCATCGTCATCGCCCTCGCCCATCCAGGGATCTTTATGAATAACGCCCTCGATAGCTTCTAGCTTGTGAGGCTGACCTATCTCATTCCGGACATCGCAGCTTCGGACAATGTTGATAGTGTTCTTGAAAGCAAGGGTCTCGGCAAGAGGAGCGCCGGTACCTAGGACTTGATCGTCTCGCGTGTCTGGACTACCCCCATCTTCAGCGCTGCTGAGACGAAAGGAAATCTCAGTTTTGTTCTCCTTGTCCTTTGCAACCCTATTCTGCGTAATCACGCGACGTGTGACAGGGGCAAGAGCGAGGGTTCTGCGAAGTCAGGCGAAGAGGAGTCGGAGAAGTGTTTGTCAAGGAGAGCGATTCAATATTGAGAGGGATCGCTCCTTTGACCTGGTACAGAGATGCATGGCCGGGCGTAGGGGGCTCGCTCGCGGTTGACAGGTGTTGGTGACCATCATGAGGGAGTCGACATGATGACGTCTGGAGGGTGACGGTTTCTAGTCGGAAGCTTGACAGCATCAGACTTCCCCTTGCTATCCTTCCCGGCGTCTCGTACCATAGCTTGATCGAACCAACGCGTTTGTTTTCGGCGGCAATTGGGTCCCTCGAGCTGGCAAGTGTCGACGTAAGGCCGTCTTGATCAGAAGAGAGAGCCAAAGGCGGAAAAAGACTTGAATCCCCGTTGACAGCGACAGACAGCCTTGTGAGGAACTGAGTCGAGGATCTTGTCGCTGTTGCTATTACGGTAGGTGTTGGGAAAGGTTACGAAATGAATTTCTGGACCAATGTACGGGTTGCAAGGGGGGTGGTTGGAAGGAGCGAAGGTCAGGTGCCTTCCTCTGACGCGCGATCTAAGATAGAACAGCCTGTGTTTGTCAAAAGTCCTCGTAACTAAGGTAGATATTTTATAGGGTGATATAATCACAACAATTGACATTCAGGATTATGGTTGAGAGTGAACATGTTAAGACTTCTAGTGTATACATCAATGGCAACCGTAATTGCTCGCCCTACATTTTATGAATTCAGCATGACATCTAGTACAACATAGATGTATCAATGTCAAGTTGATAATAAGAACCTCAATAGCGGCACGTGAGAAACATTGCCAGTAGCCCCGTGATCCCGAAAAGGGGCTCTTACCGAGTCACCGACCCTTCACCGAGAACCAACAGTCCCACTGACTCCTGCAAATCACGTGCTGAGTCCGGATACCACTGCATTTGACTGGTACACACTTATCAGATTCAATGACCACTCTGGTAACCAGTCAAGCGTCCGAGTCTCAGGCTCGAGTCGCATTCGACAACATTTGTCGACAATGTTGTCAATTCTCCGGAAAGCCCGGCTGAAGGACAAGGAGATGAGGATCCTGATGCTGTGAGTACAGACCCAGGATGAGTGAGACTCGCTGACAAAGATGCACGGCCAGGGGCCTGGACAACGCAGGCAAGACGACGATTGTGAAGAAGATCATGGGCGAGGACGTCAACACGGTGAGCCCCACGCTGGGCTTCATCATCAAAACGATTGATTACGACGGGTCAGTGGTCTGCTGCCTCTAACAGGAACTTTGCTGACGAGTGTAAAGATACAAGCTCAACATCTGTACGAGCCAACGTTTGCTTTTACTACTTGGTGGTTATTGACCATCACAGGGGATGTCGGAGGGCAGAAGACGCTGCGGTCGTACTGGCGCAACTATTTTGAAAAGACCGATGCCCTCATCTGGGTTGTCGATGCCACGGACCGACTGAGGATTGAAGATTGCCGAGAGGAGCTTCACGGTCTCCTACAGGAAGAGGTCTGGCATCCCAGTATACATGCAAACCATTCTCACTGACACGAATAGCGCCTTTCCGGAGCGAGCCTCCTAGTCTTTGCGAACAAGACTGATGTCGGCGGGTGCATGGACGAACAAGAAATCCTTGAGGTATGTTGCCATGTGACAGACAAGTGGTTGGACGAGTCTTGACAAGTTTCAAGGGCCTTCAGTTGGAATTGATACGAACGCATCGGTGGAACGTCCTTCGATGTAGTGCCATGACAGGGACGAATCTAAAAGAAGGTCTGGCGTGGGTTGTGGATGATGCGAAGAAGCGGCTGTTTCTCTACTGAGGCACACTGCTATAGGAAACCTCGGTGGACATACCACAGAGGGGAATCATGAACCGTCGGAGCGCCCGTCACATCGACATGGACCCCCCCGAGGTAGGTAGCGAGTGGGGTTGATGGAGTCGACGTAGGTGGAAAGAACATCGATGGGGTGACCGACTAGAGCTGCGCGATAAAGGAATTCAGAGCAAAGGCTGACTGACAGTCAAAACAAAACAAACAAGACAAATTCACAAAAACACAAAACTTCGCTGATTTTTGAGTTTGGATCGGCTCAAGCCGGTCTAGAGCCCATTCACTAGACAAGATCATGATAACAGCGTGCTTAACGCCGTGCACGTGGTAGACTGCTGTGTCGAGGAAACCCAAGGAGGGGCATGAGAATTGGGCCAAAGTAAGCCTACCTTGTGTGCCTGGGCTTGCTGGGTAGTCACGTACTGCATGGAGAGCCACAGGCGCTGTAATGAAGACTGAGGCGCTATCCACTCACTGTAAAGCTGCTGAGAGGCCCCACCCATTTTAGCGTCTCAGCTCACGGATGTGGAGGTCAAAAGGCCTGTGGGTGGGCTCATGTTGTCGCCAAGGCCAAGCAAGACAAGGGCCCGGCTTAGGCAGAACATCAACAAATGACGACGATCTCGCATCCTCCCACCAAACCACTAGTCATTGGCGTCCAGCCAGGTACTCCAAGCATCGAAAACACGAGCTATCCCTAGACGGGTCATCTCCATCGTTGTCATCGCCATTGTCCATTGCTATCGCCAACGCCTTGTCGCGACATCTATCAACGTCGACTGAGCGAACAGCCCTCAACAACCCCCACTGCGTCCAATGCTCCCAACCTAGGGGTTGCCATCAGTAGCCATGGACGACGTTTCCAAGTTTTTGCAGGACGTCAAGGAGATGAACGCGCGACGCACAGAGGAGGATGATGCGCGACAGAGAGAGCTTGACGAGAAGATCCAGCAAGAGAAACGAGAACGCCAGGCTCGCCGCGCCGGTATGTTTCTTCCCCCTCCTCTTCTTTTTCCTTTGACCCATTCGTGACCCATCCATTACCTTCGACCACGCATCCTGTCCACATGGAAACGCTTTGGCGTCGTTTCGCTCGTTGAGTGCCAGCTCCATCCTGGCTGCACGCCACGTTAGTGTGGACAACAACAAGCAAAACCCAATTCAACGACCAGCGAGCGTACGACCCTCATGCGTTTCCCTGGCTACCCTTTCCGATGGGACCGACGCCCAGAGCCAGAGCTTCAATTTCTATTTTGCTGCCCAGTGTCCCTTCATGACTTGACTGACGGCTCGCATTGACAGAACGCGCACGATCCATCTCTCCCCAAAAGTCATCTCCCGCCAATACCCCACCACCCTCTTCGCATCGCAACAGCACCACCTCACGACTCGCTGACGGGCCCCGTTTGACTCCTGCAACCGAAACCACAGGCAGTCCGCAATCGCGTGCAGCCGTCACCTCGGCCGAGCTTGAAACCTCCACAGCTCCAGACGCTGCAGCCCAGGAGAACGCCTCGCCCGCCGAAATCAACGAGCAAAATTCCGGCATGAACTCTCCTTCCTCACCCTCCGGTGTTGGCGGCCCGCGGCCGCTATCATGGCAGAGGCGCCCGAACTCGCAGGCCGGGGAAAAGCCCAAGACGAGGCCGCTGTCCATGTTCGCTGCCCAGAACGCCGCCAGAACATCCTCCACGGCCCCATCCGAGCAAGCACCCGCTTCGGCGACTGAGCAGACTTTTACCAAGGACCAGATTGCCCAGGCTCTTGGTTCCAAGGATCCGACATGTTTCCGACAGACGGCCGACCGCGGTCTCGGCTCTGCGGCCTACCGTAAAAACCAGGTTGAGGATCAGGAGACGCTCGACATGTCTTCCCTGCGCGCACAGCTGCCAGGTATGGAACGCAAGACCTCTGCCGGCGAGTCGCAGGCGCCGCCGCCGCAGCCCAAATTCCATGACACTCTAGCCGACGAGCATGCGACTGCCTCCCCTCTTCGCCTCTCAGCGCCCAACGACTGATCCGCTGCCGAGTATCTCCCGAAGAGAACTGCGCAGTCCCGAGCATCTGCCATGGTCACAGGCTCCGGACGGTCTTCGCCTCACGAGGCCTGCATCGCCGACGAAGGGCATGGGAGGCTTTGTACAGAGTGCCATGATGAAGAGATCCGACAGTGTCAAGAGATGGAGCGTGACTTCGCCCCCAGGCCTTGCTCGCGTCGACACCGTGGCGTCCCACCGAACCGGCGAGCGTTCCGCCCACTCACGATCCAGGTCCCGTCCGACAAGCATGTTCCGTGAACGCTCAAACACTACCCACGAGACGTCCCCGACCCGATCGCCTTCACGATCTGAAGCGATAGAGAACGAAGCCAACCAAAGCGAGACGCCAAAAGTCAAGACTGTAGAGCCCTCCCCCATAGTTCCACCCATCGACACAGATGTCAAGGAGCAAGAGGAAGTGACGCCGCCCTCAAGCCCGTCCAAGACGATGGACCCCCGGCGATGGAGCCCGACAAAAGCTAGCTGGCTTGAGACAGCCCTGAACAAGCCTGAATCACCAAAACCGAAGCCTTCGCCAGCTGCTGCAAACCAGCCTGCATGGATGGTCGAGCTGAATAAGGCCAAAGCGCAAAAGTCTGGCAACCCGAATGCTGAAGCGGGAAGGAGCGGCTCCATCTCATCCAAGCACGCGGTCAACATTGGTGGACTTATGCGGTCTACGCCAATGGGGTCTGCCGTGAAGCCTTCAACAACTGGTCTAGGGGGCATATACTCTCCACCAACACCCACCGCCCGTTCAGGATTTGCGGCTGTTGGAGCCGGTAGTCTCCGCGGCAATTTACACAAGCCGAACCTGAGTAGTGACAAGACGGAGCCAGAGACAAGTCCCGTGGAAGGTGAAGTACCCACCCGCTCCTCTGTCATCAGCCCATCCTCGGTGACAGGCAAATCACGACCCGCCACACCGCCGAAGAAGGATTTTCGCGCGAACCTCAAGCCGCGACAAGCATCGGGGGATGCCAGTGCTCAAGTCGAATCGAATAACGAATTGAAGAACGTGTTCGGTAACCTGCGACGAACCAAGACACAAAACTATGTCGCCCCAGATGAATTGAAGGGCAACATCCTGCGTGGTAAAGCAGCCCTCAACGCCACTGGTGGACCGAAGCCGAGTGAGCGCAAGGATGAATTCAAGGATGCCATTTTGAAAAAGAAGGAAGACTTCAAAAGGGCCCAAGACGAAGGCAAGGGTGTCGAACGTGGTTCTGCGCCGCCTATCGAGGAACCGATCCCCGAGGGTATCGCTAGGCGCAGAGCGCTCAGTAGGTCCACGTCTGGGAAAGCCGATACCACATCGGGCTATGGCATAGAAACATCGTCGAATAAGTCGGCGAATGAACCGAGGCCATTGAGTTCTTTGTCAAAGAGGGACTCCGCTGAGTCTATGTCGACGACAAAGACGGCTGCTGAACCTGTCATGCCTGAGCTACACAAGGAGACCAGCGCTCCCGCGCGTCTCCAGAACCGCCCTAGTGCTGGCGGTCTCGCGGGACGCTTCAACCAAAACCTGGCGGGTCTCTTAGCCCGCGGCCCTCCACCCATGGCTGCGAACAGCAGCAAGAACGCCGACGACTCTGACTCCGGCACACCCTCTGCACCTATTGCAGAGCCCTCAGCACCTGGCCCTCAGCTCACGCACATGACTAAGGGTCGTGCTCGTGGACCCAAGAGGAAGGCGCCGACGTCTGCGCAGCCACCGGCCGCGGCAAAGACCGTGGAGCCGGCCTCTAAGGAGAGCATCCCGTTCAAGCCGGCAGCAACACCCAAGAAGACGGTCCCGGCGGTTGAGGCAACTCAAAGTCCCCGCTCGCCCCCAATGCCCAGCTCGCCATCATCCTCGTTGCCTCAGACTATCCAGGCCCAGGTCGCCGCGAAGGCCGCCATCAAGAATAAGCCCTCTCCTGCGCAGCCTCCTCAGAAGCAAACACCAATAGAGGACCCATTAGTTGCCGACGTGTCTCAAAAGTCACCGTCACCGCCCGTGACTAAGGCGAAGCCTGTGGCAACGACCCCCTTTGCCAGCCTGCGTCGCACGCCGTCCCCGACAAAGCAGATGGAGGAAGAGCCGGTTGCAGCCCCGGCCTCTTCACCACGCAAACTGGACATGAAGCGAATGTCGAGATTCTTTGATGATCCAAATGCCCCAAAGCCTGCTACCGAGAGCTCGAAGCACGAAGTGGCCAGGCCGGAAAGTATTAGCAGGCAGCTGCCCAAGCCTGAAAGCCCAAGCAGGGAGCTTCCCAACCCTTCAACCCCGTCACGCGACCTCCCAAAGCCGCTCAGCATCGGCCAAACATCCAGGTCTCAGAGCCCCCGGGAACTTCCCCGACCTCAAAGCATCAACAGAGAGCTGCCGAAGCCCGAAAGTCCACGAGATGTGCCGCGCCCTCTCAGTATCAACAAGCCAGAGAGTCCTCTGAAGGGGCAGTTCCGCAAGGAGAGCCAGCCAGGTACGCCCCTTCGCTCGCCTGTAAAACAGGCTAACGAGGTGACGACAATGCTCGATGAGTTCTTCGGCACATCCCGGCCCCAGCGTGAATACCGCATCGATACGGCCGATATCTTGATGAACAGGCCGCAAGTTCCTAGGGTCCGCACTGCAGGAGCCCAGCTTTTCCAGCTGTTTGGGGATGGCAAGAAAATGCCTGTTCCCATGCACAACGAACGTGTCCTCTTTGAGCAAGAGATGTACATATGCCCCCATGAGTTCACCGATAGTGCCGGCAAGAAGGCCTTCGAAGTTTACTTCTGGGCAGGTGATGAAGTGCCGACTTCTACCCTCGAAGACGCGCAGCTCTTTGCAAGCCGCGAGGCAAGGGCACTGGGAGGTAAACTCGTCAAACTCCAGCAGGGCAAGGAGACGGCCGAATTCCTCCAAGCCTTGGGCGGCATTGTCATAACGCGCCGTGGCTCAAGCAACAAGTTCGACATGCTGGCGCCGAGCATCCTTTGCGGTCGCCGCCACCTTGGCCAGGTGGCTTTTGACGAGGTCGACTTTGCACCCGCGAACCTCTGCGCAGGCTTCGCGTACCTCATTACGCAACAGGGCAAATGCTACCTCTGGAAAGGCAAAGGCAGCAACGTCGATGAGCTCAGCTGCGCTCGTCTGATAGGTATGGACTTGACGTTGACAGGAGAGCTGATCGAGGTGGACGATGGCGGTGAGCCGGCCGCTTTCTGGGATGTGTTCGGCGGCAGCGGCAGTGGTGCGAAGCCCCACTCGGCGGATCACTGGCGACTGAAGCCAAATTACGAAAAGTACTGCGGTCGTCTATTTTGCTCCGACGCCGCGTCCAGGCAACAGGTAAGCTGACTCTACTCTCTCCGTCATATTTTTCTCCCAAGCTTCAAGGAGCCGCGCTGACGCATATGACCAGATCTCCGAAATCTGCCCGTTTAGCCAGGCGGACCTTACGCCGAGCTCTTGTCTACATCTTGGATGCCTTCTTCGAGATGTACGTCATTGTCGGCCGCGCCGCGCAGGCCGAGTACCTCTCCTTCCGCAACGCCCTCGATTTTGCGCAGGAGTACGCCATCCTCCCTCGGGCATGGAAGACCGCCCCTTTGTGCCCATCTCGACCGTCGTCTCGAGGGCATCCCGCGCGACCTGAAGAGGGTCTTCCGCAAGTGGACCGACGAGGAAGCCCGACCGTCATGCCGCAGGCAGGCCTGAAGAGGGGCCGAAGCCTGAGGATCGTGCCGCTCACGCAGGCGCTGCAGGCGCTGAGCGAGTGAGCGGGCGGGCCGCGCTGAACGACAAGAGCTGGCCGCGGCTGGCTGCACGTGTGTGCCATGGAGTTTAAGAGGACACAACCAGAGTAGGAGAGAGAGGTGACCAGGGGCGGAAACTTAAAAAGCGTTGCAAGCCATGTTTCGGCGGCGGGGCGTGGGCGTTTTCGGGGGCCGGGGTTGGTTGTTGTGACATTTTCCGTATATATTGTTGTAATACAATGTATATCCTGTTCGCCCTTTTTTGTTGTTGTTGTTGTTGTTTTTGGTTGCGTCATGACGGTTGCTTGCAATGTCGGCATCTGCTACTAGACCTGTGCTTGAAAGAGGGTCCGCTTAGCAAGGACTTGCTTGCTTGGAGCCTGCTGGACATGCTTGTCCACAATAGGCTTAAGCGATGACAGCCACCCCCTTACGGCACAGACCCTTCTTCCGCATCGTCAATTGCTATTATCATTATGGACAACCTCCGGATTTGACGGCATCACGGAAAGCAGGGTGCAAGGAACGTTCACATCGTCCACATTCATCCAGAGTCATCAAGGGATATATACCAGACTTCCTACTCCCCGGCCGAGCTACCATCCAGTCACAAGAGATACCAATCGAAACCACTGAACCGGATCAGACAAACACAAGCGCCCGCTCGTCCCAGACGAGGCTACGTGACCCGTATATGC